GCGGCTGTGAACATAAATGTGACGAGACGAAACGATCCAGAGTTTTGAGATTTGTCACATATTTGAAAGAAAATTGGACGGACAGAATGAAACAAACTTCAAAGCTCTGGCTCAGACACACACGCACACACAGATACACACACACACACACGCACACACAGATACACACACAGACACACACATACACACAGACAGACACACACACGCACAGACATGCACACAGACACACACACACAGACACACACATACACACACACGCACAGACATGCACACAGACACACACATGCACACAGACACACACACACAGACACACACATACACACACACGCACAGACATGCACACAGACACACACACAGACACACACACGCACAGACATGCACACAGACACACACATACACACAGACAGACACACACACGCACAGACATGCACACAGACACACACATACACACAGACAGACACACACACGCACAGACATGCACACACACACACAGACACACACAAAACACACACACACACAGACATGCACACAGACACACACATACACACACACATACACACACACGCACAGACATGCACACACACACACAGACAGACAGACACACACACATACACACACACGCACAGACATGCACACACACACACAGACAGACAGACACACACACATGCACACACACACACAGACAGACACACACACATACACACACACGCACAGACATGCACACAGACACACACACACACAGACATGCACACAGACACACACACACACATACACACAGACAGACACACACACATACACACACACGCACAGACATGCACACAGACACACACACACACAGACATGCACACAGACACACACACACACATACACACAGACAGACACACACACATACACACACACGCACAGACATGCACACACACACACAGACAGACAGACACACACACATACACACACACGCACAGACATGCACACAGACACACACACAGACAGACACACACACATACACACACACACACAGACATGCACACAGACACACACACACACAGACAGACCAGTGGGGGCAGGTCCTGGCTCAAAAGTGTCCAAAATGAGGTGCGCTGACATGCTGCAATACCACCCCGGGCCTGTGGGGGTGGACCCTGACATGCTGCAGTACCACCCCGGGCCTGTGGGGGTGGACCCTGACATGCTGCAATACCACCCCGGGCCTGTGGGGGTGGACCCTGACATGCTGCAGTACCACCCCGGGCCTGTGGGGGTGGACCCTGACATGCTGCAGTACCACTCCGGGCCTGTGGGGGTGGACCCTGACATGCTGCAGTACCACCCCAGGCCTGTGGGGGTGGACCCTGACATGCTGCAGTACCACCCCGGGCCTGTGGGGGTGGACCCGGAATAAGAATCAGCCAATGCTAACATATAGCACCTTCTTACCTCTGGAAAAAGTCTTTACAGGATGGACCAAAAGTTATCTCTTGGCCCAAAGCTCCGTTCCACATGTGTGTCAATGCTGAGGGTAAAAATGCTGAAAAATATGATATATATATATATATGTATAATATATATATATTATATATATATAATGTATAATGGCGAAGACAACTCAGTTCTGTGGTTCTTGTCTTTGTCTTCAGTTCCTGTGTTTTTTTTTTACATTCAGTTAAGTTTTGTTTTTGGATTCTTGTTTTAAGTTTGGGGTCCATCCCACGGTCCGACTTCCTCCGTTTGCTTTTCCTGTCCTGAGGAAGAGTCCCCTCGTCTTCATCCTCTCTGTGGGAAAACACGGGGCTCACCTGTGTTTCTGAGGAGGTGCTGATGGAGGTAAGTGCTTGTGCGTCAGCGTCTATTGTCCCCCCAGGCCCACACCATCAACAGGCTATAGTTCCTGATCCGACAAAGTGGTCCCAAACTCTTAGTGTTGTGTGTTTTTGTGTTTTTGTGTGTGGGTGGTCGTGCAGCCGTCCACAGGTGTGTGTTGACACCGGTCTCGGTCCAAAGACTCTGGACTAAGTGTTTGTGTCTCGTTCTGTGGTTTTCTGTGTGGATCTGTGCTGCGTTGTTTAGCGTTCTCTCACAAAGGAACCATGAAGTTGATTTAGAGTCGATCCATAATGTGTTTCAGACTCCGCAGAGCAAAGCAACCACATTCTTAAATGGATTTATATTTATTGCAGTGTTGTCGATAGATGTTAAAGGGGAAGTATGATGGATCTTCCTCTTCATCCGATCGGTCAAATTGATGTGTTTTTGTGCTGTAGGAAAAGTGAATGCACCGTAATCTAATCCTGTCTGTTTTATTTACTACAAACGTGTGAAAAACCTGTGATACATGTGGAGCCTATTGTTGTTTACTCTTGAATGTTCTGGAAACGGTAAATCCTAAATGTTTTTGAATTTTTTTTGTATAGTGCGGAGTTTGGGAACCTTTTTACGTGAAAGAGCCAAAAAAGTCTCATACCTGTTTTTCTGTGGGAGCCAGAACATTTTAATACCATTCTTTAAAGACAAGATCAACACAATTACAGTAGATTAGTCTGAATCTATTCTTTATTTTAATCTGAATACCAAAAAAACAGATTGACTGTTTTTATTATACTTAGTGCTGGACTCCACCGGCTGCATCTCCGTTCACGTGCGCAGGCGGCTGCCGTCAGACGTGTGTAAAACAGTACAGTGACCACAGCGGCTTCAGCGGCGCAGCCTCCTGTGATCACGACTTTGTTTTAACTTCAGAACATTCAAATTAAAGAAGCAGTTTGTGATTTACACGAGCTGTGGCTCACAGACACTGCTCCCTACGTCACAGACACTGCTCCCTACGTCACAGACACTGCTCCCTACGTCACAGACACTGCTCCCTACGTCACAGACACTGCTCCCTACGTCACACACACTGCTCCCTACGTCACACAGACACTGCTCCCTACGTCACAGACACTGCTCCCTACGTCACACAGACACTGCTCCCTACGTCACAGACACTGCTCCCTACGTCACAGACACTGCTCCCTACGTCACAGACACTGCTCCCTACGTCACACAGACACTGCTCCCTACGTCACACAGACACTGCTCCCTACGTCACAGACACTGCTCCCTACGTCACAGACACTGCTCCCTACGTCACAGACACTGCTCCCTACGTCACAGACACTGCTCCCTACGTCACAGACACTGCTCCCTACGTCACAGACACTGCTCCCTACGTCACAGACACTGCTCCCTACGTCACAGACACTGCTCCCTACGTCACAGAACACTGCTCCCTACGTCACAGACACTGCTCCCTACGTCACAGACACACTGCTCCCTACGTCACACAGACACTGCTCCCTACGTCACAGACACTGCTCCCTACGTCACAGACACTGCTCCCTACGTCACAGACACTGCTCCCTACGTCACACAGACACTGCTCCCTACGTCACAGACACTGCTCCCTACGTCACAGACACTGCTCCCTACGTCACAGACACTGCTCCCTACGTCACAGACACTGCTCCCTACGTCACAGACACTGCTCCCTACGTCACAGACACTGCTCCCTACGTCACACAGACACTGCTCCCTACGTCACAGACACTGCTCCCTACGTCACAGACACTGCTCCCTACGTCACAGACACTGCTCCCTACGTCACAGACACTGCTCCCTACGTCACAGACACTGCTCCCTACGTCACAGACACTGCTCCCTACGTCACAGACACTGCTCCCTACGTCACAGACACTGCTCCCTACGTCACAGACACTGCTCCCTACGTCACAGACACTGCTCCCTACGTCACAGACACTGCTCCCTACGTCACAGACACTGCTCCCTACGTCACAGACACTGCTCCCTACGTCACAGACACTGCTCCCTACGTCACAGACACTGCTCCCTACGTCACAGACACACTGCTCCCTACGTCACAGACACTGCTCCCTACGTCACAGACACTGCTCCCTACGTCACACACTGCTCCCTACGTCACAGACACTGCTCCCTACGTCACAGACACTGCTCCTACGTCACAGACACTGCTCCCTACGTCACACAGACACTGCTCCCTACGTCACAGACACTGCTCCCTACGTCACAGACACTGCTCCCTACGTCACAGACACTGCTCCCTACGTCACAGACACACTGCTCCCTACGTCACACAGACACTGCTCCCTACGTCACACAGACATGCCCCTACGTCACAGACACTGCTCCCTACGTCACACAGACACTGCTCCCTACGTCACACAGACACTGCTCCCTACGTCACACAGACACTGCTCCCTACGTCACAGACACTGCTCCCTACGTCACAGACACTGCTCCCTACGTCACAGACACTGCTCCCTACGTCACAGACACTGCTCCCTACGTCACAGACACTGCTCCCTACGTCACAGACACTGCTCCCTACGTCACAGACACTGCTCCCTACGTCACAGACACTGCTCCCTACGTCACAGACACTGCTCCCTACGTCACACGACACTGCTCCCTACGTCACACAGACACTGCTCCCTACGTCACACAGACACTGCTCCCTACGTCACAGACACTGCTCCCTACGTCACACAGACACTGCTCCCTACGTCACACAGACACTGCTCCCCTACGTCACAGACACACTGCCCCCTACGTCCACAGACACTGCTCCCTACGTCACACAGACACTGCTCCCTACGTCACACAGACACTGCTCCCTACGTCACACAGACACTGCTCCCTACGTCACACAGACACTGCTCCCTACGTCACAGACACTGCTCCCTACGTCACAGACACTGCTCCCTACGTCACAGACACTGCTCCCTACGTCACAGACACTGCTCCCTACGTCACAGACACTGCTCCCTACGTCACAGACACTGCTCCCTACGTCACAGACACTGCTCCCTACGTCACACAGACACTGCTCCCTACGTCACACAGACACTGCTCCCTACGTCACAGACACTGCTCCCTACGTCACACAGACACTGCTCCCTACGTCACACAGACACTGCTCCCTACGTCACACCAGACACTGCTCCCTACGTCACAGACACTGCTCCCTACGTCACACAGACACTGCTCCCTACGTCACAGACACTGCTCCCTACGTCACAGACACTGCTCCCTACGTCACACAGACACTGCTCCCTACGTCACACAGACACTGCTCCCTACGTCACAGACACTGCTCCCTACGTCACAGAGACACTGCTCCCTACGTCACACAGACACTGCTCCCTACGTCACAGACACTGCTCCCTACGTCACAGACACTGCTCCCTACGTCACAGACACTGCTCCCTACGTCACAGACACTGCTCCCTACGTCACACAGACACTGCTCCCTACGTCACAGACACTGCTCCCTACGTCACACAGACACTGCTCCCTACGTCACAGACACTGCTCCCTACGTCACAGACACTGCTCCCTACGTCAGACAGACACTGCTCCCTACGTCACAGACACTGCTCCCTACGTCACAGACACTGCTCCCTACGTCACAGACACTGCTCCCTACGTCACAGACACTGCTCCCTACGTCACAGACACTGCTCCCTACGGGGTCTTAGATTTGCTAACCTTAGAAGGATTGGGGATTACAAACCGTACCCTAAAATTATGCATGATATTTCTTCTTACTCTGTATTTTCTCTGAACTTTCAACTGCTCTTCCCTAAATCAATCTTTAGCAACAACTCTTTTTCACCCATTTCCAGGTTTACAGCCCGCACTTCCACTTCCAGCCCGCACTTCCGCCACGACACACATTCTGTCTGCTTCAGGTCTTAATAAGGTTTTATGACCACAGCCTGAGAGCCAGCAAAGCCTTTAAATATGTCTTTTTAACGTCCATTACCGAACGCCGATCATGTTAATCGTTTCGGGAGAACATGTGGTGTATGTAATGAACGTGGGACATACATTTGCCGTCACATGAAAGCCTCGGGACAAGTGTTTCGTGTTAGTCCAGACTCGGATCCCGACGGGCCACTCACAGACCAGTCTTTGAGAGAGTTTTGGTAAACGTCGCTGGATGTGTTTCAGGCCTGTCCGTCACCGAGGTGGTCCCAGCTCCCCATGTTTTGGAATTTCAAAGAGTATATAAGAGCCCCATGCAGAGGCCCATAATCAGAATCACATTGTCTAAAGCTATCGGGCCATGCTGGGACCGGGCGGCTTACGGGGAGTAGGGAGCTTTGATTAGAGCCGGACTCTTTGATCTGGAAAAGCTGCTACAGGAAAGCTGCAGCCGTCATCAGAGGTTAAAGACCGGGTTTCCCTCGGGGACTGGGACTGGCTCCAGACGTGGATCACCCCGGGCTTCTCCCAGGCTAATGCCACACATCTACTATAGCACACAGGAGCCCGGGAAGTGTAGCCTGGTCTTACCGCACCATGGTACTCATTTCATTTCATACTAAGGTCTGGATTGTCTCCATTGGCTCCGTTAACAGGTGGGAGGGGCTAACTCCTTTTACAGATTGAAACCATTGGATCTGAGTTTACTGTGACGTATGTAATGAGCCCGAGTGAGTGAGGCATTTAGCATTTAGCCTAGCTTTAGCATGTAGCCTAGCTTTAGCATGTAGCCTAGCTTTAGCATTAGCCTAGCTTTAGCCATCTCCTTTGTCACTAACGGAGCCCGTGGGGAGTAGAGCCACAACATCTTTGCTTCAATGACATTTACTAAACATTCCTCTTGCTCCGGCTTCAGTTTCTTGATATTTGGATTGAACCAGAACAGATTATTTTACTTTGATTTTATCTCTGTGCAGTATTTTGTTTTATAAAATGTGCAATAGAAATAAAGTATACGGGATGTACACACACACACATCTATGCATACATATAAACATAACAGTAAATAAAACAAAAGGACCATAGAACTCAGCAGTGTTAAAAACCAGAGCAGAAGAATGGGTTTAAAGACTAGACTTAAAACATTCCACAGAAGCAGAAGTTTGGTCCAGTCTCAGAGAAGACCCAGTCCCCGGGTTTTCAGTCTGGTCCTAGACAAGCTCAAATATATTTCATTTATGTCTAATATTTTGGAATCTGCTTTGTTCATTCATGCTTTGTTAACCGTGATGTCTGGTCTTAATGAGGTCCAACTCTTCAGTTTCTTCAGGCTCTTTTGGGTGGGCCACAGTGGCTCAGTTGGTAAAGCAATGGTCTCTGAACTCAGTGGTCATGGGTTCGATGCCCCCTTGACCCATGTCATCTGCTCCCACTGAAGTCTGCTGTTGTTGTGTCCCTGGGCCAATACCAAGGCTGTACCTTTGTCAATGCAGCAGCCATCTTCCTTTGGACCAGCTCTGATCCACCCCCGACCCAGAAATGGAATAATAACATCTTTTTGTGTTGGAGAAAAGTACGATTTCAAATATGTTTAAATCTCGATAAATCGCGATAATCTGTTTCCCTCAGGGCTCCATGACCTCGGACTCTCCTCTCATTGGTTCCACCTCAGCACTTCAGAATCGCTTCAGAATCGCTTCAGAATCCTTCATAGATTAGTTGCTGCCTCGGGGAAAAGCCTAATCAACCCCAGTCTTAAAAACAAGATTGCAAATGTGCAAGTAGCAGCGCGTTTTGGTTCTCGCTCCAGAGATAACGCTACAAGCTCCAGATACTGCCTCCAAATTAGCCGCCGCAGAAAACACCGTCTTTCACCAAATGTTTTTATCTAATTGTTATTCTTGACCCTTTTGTGTTCTCAGCTGAGGGGGGGGGGGGGGTTTCTCGGGGGACACGGCTTTTTACAAGGATTTGCTCTAAACAGGAAGGAAGGCCGGGCCGGTGCGAGAGAGACCAGAGAGAGACCAGAGAGAGACCAGAGAGAGAGACCAGAGAGAGACCAGAGAGAGACCAGAGAGAGACCAGAGAGAGAGAGACCAGAGAGAGACCAGAGAGAGACCAGAGAGAGACCAGAGAGAGAGACCAGAGAGAGACCAGAGAGAGACCAGAGAGAGAGAGACCAGAGAGAGACCAGAGAGAGACCAGAGAGAGACCAGAGAGAGACCAGAGAGAGACCAGAGAGAGAGACCAGAGAGAGACCAGAGAGAGACCAGAGAGAGAGAGACCAGAGAGAGACCAGAGAGAGACCAGAGAGAGACCAGAGAGAGACCAGAGAGAGACCAGAGAGAGAGACCAGAGAGAGAGACCAGAGAGAGACCAGAGAGACCAGAGAGAGACCAGAGAGAGAGAGACCAGAGAGAGACCAGAGAGAGACCAGAGAGAGACCAGAGAGAGACCAGAGAGAGACCAGAGAGAGAGAGACCAGAGAGAGACCAGAGAGAGACCAGAGAGAGAGAGACCAGAGAGAGACCAGAGAGAGACCAGAGAGAGACCAGAGAGAGACCAGAGAGAGACCAGAGAGAGAGACCAGAGAGAGAGACCAGAGAGAGACCAGAGAGACCAGAGAGAGACCAGAGAGAGAGAGACCAGAGAGAGACCAGAGAGAGACCAGAGAGAGACCAGAGAGAGACCAGAGAGAGACCAGAGAGAGACCAGAGAGAGAGACCAGAGAGAGAGACCAGAGAGAGACCAGAGAGACCAGAGAGAGACCAGACAGACCAGAGAGAGACCAGAGAGAGAGACCAGAGAGAGACCAGAGAGAGACCAGAGAAAGACCAGAGAGAGACCAGAGAGAGACCAGAGAGAGACCAGAGAGAGACCAGAGAGAGACCAGAGAGAGACCAGAGAGAGACCAGAGAGAGACCAGAGAGAGACCAGAGAGAGAGACCAGAGAGAGACCAGAGAGAGACCAGAGACTAGAGGGAGACTAGGAGAGAGAGACCAGAGAGAGACCAGAGAGAGACCAGAGAGAGACCAGAGAGAGACCAGAGAGAGAGACCAGAGAGAGACCAGAGAGAGACCAGAGAGAGACCAGAGAGAGAGACCAGAGAGAGACCAGAGAGAGACCAGAGAGAGACCAGAGAGAGACCAGAGAGAGACCAGAGAGAGAGACCAGAGAGAGACCAGAGAGAGAGACCAGAGAGAGACCAGAGAGAGACCAGAGGGAGACCAGAGAGAGACCAGAGAGACCCGAGAGACCAGACAGACCAGAGAGAGACCAGAGAGAGACCAGAGAGAGAGACCAGAGAGAGACCAGAGAGAGACCAGAGAGAGACCAGAGAGAGACCAGAGAGGGACCAGAGAGAGACCAGAGAGAGACCAGAGAGAGACCAGAGAGAGACCAGAGAGAGAGACCAGAGAGAGACCAGAGAGAGACCAGAGAGAGACCAGAGAGAGACCAGAGAGAGACCAGAGAGGGACCAGAGAGAGACCAGAGAGAGACCAGAGAGAGACCAGAGAGGGACCAGAGAGAGACCAGAGAGAGACCAGAGAGAGACCAGAGAGAGACCAGAGAGAGACCAGAGAGAGACCAGAACACACACGGACACAGCGTTGGTCGTTTATCAGAGATCCGGGTTTGTTTACACACCTGACAGCTCTGTGTGTGAGCTGTCCACACGCACTGGAAGTCAGGCCCAGGAAGAGAGGCTTCAGAGGCGGGTAAAGAGTGGGTATGGGGGGTGCAGGGGAGGGGGTCTGAGAAGGACCAGAGAACATGGAAATTCTTGAAGTAGTAGATTGTTTTAAGGCTGTAAAACCCTCACACAGTTAAGTTTTCTAACCAGCCGAAGAGCAGAGAGAGAGAGACCAGAGAGAGGCCAGAGAGAGACCAGAAAGAGACCAGAGAGAGAGACCAGAGAGAGAGACCAGAAAGAGACCAGAAAGAGACCAGAAAGAGACCAGAAAGAGACCAGAGAAAGAGACCAGAGAGAGAGACCAGAGAGAGAGACCAGAGAGAGAGACCAGAGAGAGAGACCAGAGAGAGACCAGAGACTAGAGAGAGACCAGAGGGAGACGAGAGAGACGAGAGAGAGACCAGAGAGAGAGACCAGAGAGAGACCAGAGAGAGAGCAGAGAGAGACCAGAGAGAGAGACCAGAGAGAGAGACCAGAGAGAGACCAGAGAGAGACCAGAGGGAGAGACCAGAGAGAGAGCAGAGAGAGACCAGAGAGAGACCAGAGAGAGAGACCAGAGAGAGAGACCAGAGAGAGACCAGAGAGAGACCAGAGAGAGACCAGAGAGAGAGACCAGAGAGAGACCAGAGAGAGAGACCAGAGAGAGAGACCAGAGAGAGACCAGAGAGAGACCAGAGAGAGAGACCAGAGAGAGAGACCAGAGAGAGACCAGAGAGAGACCAGAGAGAGAGCAGAGAGAGAGCAGAGAGAGACCAGAGAGAGACCAGAGAGAGAGACCAGAGAGAGACCAGAGAGAGAGACCAGAGAGAGAAGCTGCAATTAATTCGATTATAATTGTTTGACAAACCCTATGACTGTAGGACTGATTCTTGTTTTCTTTCCTTAATCCTACAAATTATTTATTATTTATTTTGTTATTTTTGTCCTGTTTTATCTTACAAATAACAAATGGCTTCAGTTCCCATCCATCCATCCATTTTCTTCCCCTTAATCCATTTCTGGGTGGGGGTGGCAGTCAGAGCACCAGCCCCTCACTGATCCTCCTGCAGGGGCTGAGTCCACAGGAGCTGAGATCTTTCAGTGGGGGCTTCAGGCAAAGTGGGGTTAAGTGTCTTGCCCAAGGACACAACAACAGCAGTCATCAGTGGGAGTCGTGAAGGTGGTTCCATGGTGGGATCGAACCCACAACCTTCTGCTCTACCAACTGAGCCAGTGTCGGCTTCAGTTTTAAACCAACAATTCTAATTATTCCTGAGTTTGACAGTTTTCAGCACAGAGCAGTGAAGTTACGGACAGCAGCTTTAAAGACCGTTGACACTGCTTCTTACTAAACGTCTGTGTGTTTTATAAAGTCAGTTTTCTTTGATCTCGATCCAACACAATTCCCCAGAGATTTATTTATGAAAACGATCACATGTTTCCACTCTCGCTTCAGAGGACGATAACTCTGAGTTAGCTTTGGACATGTTGATACAACGGACGGAGTTAAACGATACAAAACAGTTAAAAAAGACAAAAAAATACATTAAAATCATAAAATGAGAAGTTAAGGCACTGCAGGACAATTCTCAAGACTCCTCCCTCCTCCCCCCTGCTCCTCCCTGCTCCGCCCCTCCTCCCCTCCTCCTCCCTGCTCCTCCCCTCCTCCTCCCTGCTCCTCCCCTCCTCCTCCCTGCTCCTGCCTCCTCCTCCCTGCTCCTCCCCTCCTCCTCCCTACTCCTCCCTCCTCCCCCCTGCTCCTCCCCTCCTCCTCCCTGCTCCTCCCCTCCTCCTCCCTGCTCCTCCCTCCTCCTCCCTGCTCCTCCCTCCCTCCCCCCTGCTCCTCCCTCCTCCTCCCTGCTCCTCCCTCCTCCTCCCTGCTCCTCCCCTCCTCCTCCCTGCTCCTCCCTCCTCCCCCCTGCTCCTCCCCTCCTCCCCCCTGCTCCTCCCCTCCTCCTCCCTGCTCCTCCCCTCCTCCTCCCTGCTCCTCCCTCCCTCCCCCCTGCTCCTCCCTCCTCCTCCCTGCTCCTCCCTCCTCCTCCCTGCTCCTCCCTGCTCCTCCCTCCTGCTCCTCCCCTCCTCCCCCCTGCTCCTCCCCTCCTCCCCCCTGCTCCTCCCCTCCTCCCCCCTGCTCCTCCCCTCCTCCTCCCTGCTCCTCCCCTCCTCCTCCCTGCTCCTCCCTCCTCCTCCCTGCTCCTCCCCTCCTCCTCCCTGCTCCTCCCCTCCTCCCTTGCTCCGCCCTGCTCCTCCCTCCTCCTCCCTGCTCCTCCCCTCCTCCCTTGCTCCGCCCTGCTCCTCCCTCCTCCTCCCTGCTCCTCCCTCCTCCTCCCTGCTCCGCCCCTCCTCCCCTCCTCCTCCCTGCTCCTCCCTCCTCCTCCCTGCTCCTCCCCTCCTCCTCCCTGCTCCTCCCTCCTCCTCCCTGCTCCTCCCTCCTCCCCCCTGCTCCTCCCCTCCTCCTCCCTCCTCCTCCCTGCTCCTCCCCTCCTCCCCCCTGCTCCTCCCTCCTCCTCCCTGCTCCTCCCCTCCTCCCCCCTCCTCCTCCCTGCTCCTCCCTCCTCCTCCCTGCTCCTCCCCTCCTCCTCCCCTCCTCCCCTCCTCCGCCCTGCTCCTCCCTCCTCCTTCCTGCTCCTCCCCTCCTCCCATGCTCCGCCCTGCTCCTCCCTCCTCCTCCCTCCCTGCTCCTCCCCTCCTCCTCCCTGCTCCTCCCCTCCTCCTCCCTGCTCCTCCCCTCCTCCTCCCTGCTCCCCTCCTCCTCCCTGCTCCTCCCCTCCTCCCTTGCTCCGCCCTGCTCCTCCCTCCTCCTCCCTCCCTCCCCCCTGCTCCTCCCTCCTCCTCCCTCCTCCTCCCCTCCTCCTCCCTGCTCCTCCCCTCCTCCTCCCTGCTCCCCTCCTCCTCCTCCCTCCCTCCCCCCTGCTCCTCCCTCCTCCTCCCTCCTCCTCCCCTCCTCCTCCCTGCTCCTCCCTCCTCCCCCTGCTCCTCCCCTCCTCCCCCCTCCTCCTCCCTGCTCCTGCCTCCTCCCCTCTCCTCCTCCCCTCCTCCCCTCTC